ATGGAGACTGGGGAAAAGCTGGGCTATTGGGGAAATTTATTACAATTTGTTTTATATTTGCTGATTTGCTGATAATAGGGAAAGGGGAAAAATAATCTAAATTATTAGAGATTTTCATTAGCTGAAGTGGATTTGGTTAGAAGAAAATGTTAAGTACTTGGGAAATTAGAGAAGATTTTGCCAAAGTTTCTCAGAAAGGCTTTGAAATTTCTTTTTAAAAAATCATTTCACTTATTTAACTTGTTATTAATGATAGTATAGCCAAGTTAATTATAGTCAAGAGGGTCTTAGAACTACTACTTAATGGCCCTTTACTACGTTTATCTAGAAATAAATCTTAAATAACAACTTCCAGTACCTCCAAAACGAGTGATAATACTTAACCCAGCCCTTCTTCTAAATCATACCTACTATGCCTTAATAACAGCTACTTAATTTTCATTTAACAATGAAGAAAATTACTGGTAATTCCAACTGATTTAAGCCCCTGTTAACAGTTTTTCTCACTATTAAAGTTCATTATGTGTTTTATGGCAGCAATTCGCTGTATTCCCTATCTGCACTGTAGTATCTAAGGCCGACTGCCAGTGACCCTCTCCCTCTCCCTCCTCTCCTATATCTTTCTTATGATTTATGGGAACGTGCTTGACTCATTTCCATTCCTTCACTTTCGGCCAACATTGTTCCCCCACTCGGGAGAATTCAGCCATTCTTCCGAAGAGATATACAGTTTGTGGCGCCTCGAATGGAGGGAACAACCCCCAACTCTCCTACTACTCCTACTCCTACACTCCAACTCGAATGTGAATACAACTCGAAGTACTCAAGATCATATCATATCGTGTTACTTCCCTGTCTTTCGATTCTGTTCCTTTTTCTCTGGGAGTTGGTTTTTCTTTCTTCTTCATTTTTTTGCGCTGGCAGAGTGTGTACCTCCCACTTTTCTCTTTTTCGTATTTAGACATTTTGTAGCCAGTTTATAGATGCTCCGTCTGGCATTTACCCACAATTTTCGCCTTCTCAACATAGTTTTTCTTTCTTTTCTCTCTATTTTCCTATTTTTCCTCCGACAATTTGAGGCCTGTTTGGTTTTCGCCCATAATTTTTGTGCCGTTTTACAACAAACGGGCACATAACTCTCAGACTCTCGTCGTCGACTCGACTTATGAACGGAGTATGGACCCGACCCGGTCCGGTCCAGGCTTATCTGTCGGCGCCGGTCCTCATCCAAAAACTCTACACCCCATACTATACTATATCCCCCCCTCCCATCTCTTCCTTTCCCGTGGTACTACTGGTACTGGGTGCAAAATGATTTTCACATGTTTTCCTTTATTTTCCTTTATCTATGCGAGCGAGCACGTTGCTGTTTTTCGCACTTTTGTTTCTGGCTTTGCATGTGTTTTTACCACTTTTCGTTTTCCCTGTCGCCGCCTTGAAGACCCATCTACCCTCCCCCCCCCTCTTCCACCCAGATTGTTTGGCTTTTAATTAAAATTGCAGCTAAATTATGAACTTTTCTTTTTTCTCGAACGCCTGCAAATTTTCTTTCTTCTTGGGTCTGGGTCTTTGCCTCGACCTGGACCGTATATCAAAAAATTGGCATTCTCTCTCTGTCTCTCTGGATGTGCCGAGAAAATTTCACTGGCCGCTTGGCCCAGTAATTGGAAGTTGGTAAGGAGGAGGGGGAAGAAAATCTGGAAAATTTGTACTGAGAACTCACGTAATGGGGCCGCGGCAGCAAATGAACTGTGAAGGAAATTCGCGTAAAAATGCGTTTTATTGTTAACCAATTAAGCCGATCGGCTGCATCGTTTTTGGCCATGCTTGAGTAAATCGACCCCACATACACAGATTTTCACAGTTTTTCAAAGTTTTTCACAGATTTTTACAGAATTTCCAACCAAACTGGGGGAGGCCATTGAAAATTTATGTGCTACTTTTGACTAATCGATGGGAGCTTTGAATAATTTTGGTTTTTTGGGTGGGTTTTTCTTTTTTGGTTCTTCTAATTGTCTGTCAATGGAATTTTCGTGGCTGTATTTGGTTTGTCTCTACAAAAATAGAGAGAGAGAAAAGAGAAGGAAAACCTTGTGGAATTTTCACTGTCTCGTTCGCGTGGCTTATCGTTCAATTTACAATGCGTGTCAATGGCAAAATGACAATAGGACTCACTTCATCCGCCGCCCCGAAGGCCATTTGGATGGTGGTGTCCACTGGCGGACAATATCAACGTCATTATTATTATCATTAAAAGCGATATGGGTAGAAGGGGGGGTTGGTGGATTGGTGGGTTGGGAAATAAAGCTCTTAATAAGATTCATATTGACGCAGGAGCTGTGACAATGGAAACCGAGACGAAGATGAAAATAATAATACTGATTCTCAGCAAGGAAAGAAGGAAGCTAAGAAGACAGTAGCATGGCAAATGCTCTTCATTTAGTTTGGTTTAAGATGGATTGTTGAACATTTTTCTAATATTTTATTAGAAATATTTAAGATTGATCATTTTAAGACTTTAAAAACTTATTTCGAATGATGATAAAATATCAAAATCAAGATAGAAAGGCTGAATTTCCGACAATACTGCCTTAAAATTCAGATAAAGAACCTAAGATATCAACCAAAAGTCGATCATTTTAATGAACAATCTAATAATTAGGAACTTCAGATCTCTTATTATTACTTCGGACCGCACAAAACCCCTCTAAAAACCAATATACCCTACAAGTTGGAACCCTCTTTGCACCCACTTTGCGACCTTGACCCCCGAGAAGTCGAGTGACGAGCGACGGGTGAAAATAAAATCCATTTTAAATTCTGCACTGGCGATGCTGACAATATATATATAATATAAATATATATTCAAGGAATGGAAGCACATGTCGTGTGCCTGCTGCCTGGATAAGGTCCTTCGATAAGTTTTTCTGGCATCAACGCTACGGATTCACTGGCCCTGTCTGTCTGTGTGGGTCTCCAGAACAGAGCAGAGCAGAGCTCTGGCAGCAAGATTCTGAGTCCATTGTTGCTGCTGTTGTTATTATTTGCCAAATAAGCGAACGTCCATCCGCGTTGTCTTCCTGGCACGCCCACCTCCTCGAAGGCATCGCCTTTGTTGTCATCATTCAGCCTGCTGCCTGCTGTCCCCTTTTACCCACTACTCTCTTTCATTGCTGGTCGTCGTCGTCGTCGATGATGATGATGATGCAGACATAAGATATGAAAAATATGAGGCAACAGCAATCACAATAGTCGCACCAGTCACCAAAGGCAATCACCAACCATCCCATCCTCAATTCTCAATCCTCGATCTCCGAATCTCGGAATCTGGAAACTGGGAACTGGGAACTGGGAACCCTCCTCGACAGGCGCTCATGCGTGGGCATTGGCGGACAATCCCAGTACATATATTTGTGTAAGAACAGTAAAGGGTAGAAAAGTAGTTCTGATACTCGAAATATATGGGGATTTTGAAGGTAGTTTATGGGGTGAACTGCAACCTAGTTTCTATATTATACAAAATATGGGAAAGACGGTGCTTTCCTGCTTAAATCTTAGTTTGAAATTTTCTCACAGTTCCCTAACTCCTGCTAATAACTCCCCATTAAAGCCGCTTTTAACCCACATTTAAAGCAAAGCAGCACTTAATTTTCCACTGCCACTGTACAGAGTGAGTGTACAATGAGGACGACACGTGTGTGTCTGCGTTTGTGTATAAATCACCCTTAATGCTTTTTGCACAGAGAAAAAAAGGAAGAGAAAACCAAAGGAGTGGGCACACCAAAAGGAAAGCTTCACGAACTGAGGGGGAAGCTGAAGTCTGGACGACACAGGACACAGGCAGTGTTCCTGGAACACCATAAATTGGAGTCAAGTGCTGCCAATTAGTTGCTAAAATTATTTTATGATATTTTCCGACTAATTAAATGAACATTTACGTCGTCCAAGTGTGGGCGTCGGTCAGTCTGCAAAATCGATAAAGAGCAGCGAATAATAAAAGAAAACAAAAAACGAAAAGGGAAAAGGGCAAAGGGAAACATGAATGATAGGTGGCGTCCCTCAACCATTCATTTTCAAACCATAATAACCCACAAGATTTCATCTTGCAAGCGCGCCCTCCTTGCTTTCTTTTTTTTTCGTTTTTTGTTTTTCATCAATCAAGGAAGGGAAAACAACAACAACAACAACCACAACAACAATAATCAATCATAAGCAAGACAGGGCAGGGCGGGGATTTAGTTCGCTTAGCTGCCCCCGCACCTGTCCGAAAAATAGAGCACACGTAACAGTTTGCCATCATTATTAATTATTTATGAAATTTGCGGATCCCAAACCCCTCCCCCATTGCATTACCAACCAACCACCCACAACCTAGATTCTGCTAACCAAAAAAAAAGGGAAAAAAGAAGGTTAACACCAGAACCAAACTGATTAGCTTTCTCTGTCTCTCTCTCTTTGGATCTATGGGTGTCATCCTTGATAATAACGAAATGGGAACGGGTTAAGCTCGTTAGGACATGACGGTAATTTGTTAGAACTATTGGGAATCGATGGGAGCAAACGCTTTTCCGATGACCATTTGATGTCATTTCATTGAGCTGATGATTAGTTATGATGGGAAATGGGTTCGCTTAAGGAAGAGTAACCAAAATGTGAAAGCATCTTAGCCAAAAATGACAGATATCTTATGGGATATGATAGATATCTTTAAGGAATACGATAGATATCTTCAAGAATGTTTATCTACCATTAAAATTATCAACAACCTAATGATAAGACAGCATAATCTTACTTAGAGTAAAGTTAGACTTAATTCTTGAATACAAATTCTTATTAAATGACCTTAGACCTACCTTAGAGTAAAAACTAAACTGAATACCTATTCAAATATAGCATCGCTGTATCACTCTTGCAAGATGTATCTCACATGCAAAAGTATTTACAAAATGCAGTTTCTAGATCCCATTTCTAACCAAGATTTTCCTCATCTGTTTTTCCAGTGTGCCAATGCAATGGACATGCCCGTCGCTGTCGCTTCAACCTGGAGCTGTACAAACTATCTGGCCGGGTTTCGGGAGGTGTTTGCTACAACTGCCAACACGATACTACCGGAAGATACTGCCATTACTGCCGTGAGGGTTATTATCGAGATGCCACTAAGCCGCCAAATCATCGCAAAGTCTGCAAGCGTAAGTCCTGCTTTCTCTCTACTTTTCTGCTGATTGAATGAAAGACAACGCAATGTCGTGGCCAATTATTACTTTATAGGGTACAGATGGGGTATATTGCTTATAAATAAGCCATAAAAATATATTTCCTATCAGGATAATATCTAACTGGTCTCCTGCTTTGCTAGAACTCAAGTTAGTTCCAGTATAAAGTTCTTTGGACTTCACTTTTCTTAGGGATTTGTCAAGAGTCTCTACAAGATTTCAGTATATAATTCCTAGAGGGTATTGCCTGTTTCTATTCCTCTGACTAACTTTAACAGAGAAATGTCTGACCTGTCAGAGTATTCCCCGTATTCCCCCTGTTTATTGATAATAAGCTGTCATCAATCAGTGGTCCCATAAGCTGTCTGCCATAGAGACAGACAGACAGACAGACAGGCAGACAGACAGCTGTGTGGAATAGATGGATAGTCGGCCGCTCTAATGAGGATGACATGTTGTTCACCATGTTCACAGGTTGCGACTGCCATCCAGTGGGTTCGACGGGCAAGACGTGCAATCACCTAAGTGGCCAGTGTCCCTGCAAGGAGGGCGTCACCGGACTGACCTGCAATCGATGTGCCCGTGGCTATCAACAGACCCGCTCCCATGTGGCACCCTGCATCAGTGAGTATCTAAGTTAGGATCCTAGGATTCCATAGTTTCTAATACAAATCACAAATTAACAGAAGTGCCCACCAATGCCAACATGATTCAAGCGGAGAGTGCCGGAGGCGGTGGTGGCGGAGGGGGTACAGGTGATTATAAGGACGGTGGAGGTTCACAGGTTGAGGAAATGAAAAAGTGTAAGTACACTGAAAGAAAACTTTAAGTTGTTTGACAGGAAAATAACACATTAATCCAAAACCCAACAGACTGCGGCAAGTGCAAGGCGAGTCCCAAGAAGCTCAATCTCAACAAGTTTTGCATGGAAGATTATGGTGAGTACCCTCCCTTTTAGATAATCATTAACATTGAAAATAATAAAAATCTTAATAATTTTCGAATTTTAATATGATTTTAATGCCTGTCCTTTAACTTTCAGCTATCTTAGCCAAGGTTATTGGCCACGATCGCGCCTCCCAGGACATAAGCACGGAAAAGTTCTCCATAGAGCGACAGAATGAGATCTACAAGTACGAGATCAATATCCAGACAATCTTTAAGAGGAATCCCATGTCGGGCACGACCAGTTCCCTGCTGGGCAGAGGCAATATGATGCTGCTAGTGCCACGCAAGAGCATCGAGTGCCAGTGTCCCAAAATAAAGCTAAACAAGTGAGTAGTTATGGGTTCAGGATTTAGTAGGATTTACTAGGATTTAGTTTAACTATCGGTATTTCGATGTTCAGGGGGGTTTTTCTTTCTAGTAATCAAAGTTTTTATAAGCTAATATTAAAGAAATCTTAGGAAATGGACCAGCTTAAGGCTGATTATTGATTAATAGAGAAAATATAAACTGTACTACATCCGATCTTTGGGAGGAGAAAAGTTAAAGACCTCTACTACAACTTCTATTATCCAGAAACTAGTTGTAAAAGATCATAAAATAAGCTAGGAAAATAGAAGTAGTGAAGGTCTATCTATAAGATAAGTACCTAAGATAAGTTCATTAAATTAAGAATGATAATTTAACCCTAAAAACCTTATCATATTCCCACCTAATCCCACATATTCTTCACCCTACTATTTAGATCATATCTCATCCTTGGACGTGACTCAGAGGCGGCGCCTGGTTACTTGGCCATTGGACCCAGTTCGGTGGTCCTTGAATGGAAGGACGAGTGGTCGCTACGCATGAAGCGGTTCCAGCGGCGGGCCCGCAAATGCAGTTGAATCGAACCGGAAACGGAATATGTCAGAGCGGATTTCAATTTCACACACTTGGCTAGGTATCGGTTTTTGTATAAATTGTACAGTTTACTCAAGTTTCTGACCTTCTTCGGCATCATGCTATAAATTAATTGAATCGGAGCAACAGCAACAGCAACAGCAACAGCAACAAGTCCCCCTTATCAGCAATATTCCCAACCGGAAGTTAAAACCCCCTCCTCCCACCCCTATATAATCTCAATTCCTTCTTCCGGGGCGGTCTCTAGTCTATAAAAACAACAACAATAAGAACACAAACATCAGCAAACATAAACAAACATTCGGATTTGCAAACATCAGCAAAAATACACACAAAACATAATATAAACCCGTTTTATGAAACACCAAATGCTAATTACAGTTACGTGCCAATGGGTGGGCCTGGCCCTGGGCTGTCCATAACGTCCATGCTGGCCATAAAAAAAAAAAAAAAAGAGTTATAAATTGAAAATAAGTGCCAAAAAAGAGCCCAAACATTCACAGAAAACAACCGTCGCGTGTCGCCATTCTAGACAAGCAAACAAACTGCAATTTTTTTGAATGTGAAAATGTGAAAATGTGGAAATGGATGTGGTTGTGGGGTGATGGGGATGGGATGGGTTGGCATGGACAAACAGGCCACGTCGACACATAAGTGCAGTCATAAACCAACAACACAGGTCTTGACCATCTGGCAAACAGTCCACACACTTGCCAATATTAGGGGCATTCGTCACGAAATAGGAATCAAAAATAGTGTATTAATATTCAAGATTTTTGCAATCAAAGTGCCAAATTAGAAATTTTCGTAAGAAATTTGCCAAATTTTTCTATCTGAAAAAGTATTTTCTAACAATCAGTCTGAAAATATCTCAACTTTTCTGTGGATTTTCTTTGCCATGCCTTTCATTTTCACATCAATAAAAATCTTAAATTTTATCTACAAAGAAACTGATAGAAAACCTGATATATTAATATTAATCCACCATGAAAAGCAAAACAAATGGATTCATTTTTATACTGGAAACCAAATCAAATCAAATCTTTTATGATGGAAAACTCAACACGAAAATTAGCGATCATTGTCTAACTCAGCCAATGTCATTATTAATTTGTTTCCAAATTTAGTCATCATTGTCTAAGCTTTCAATGTCAATAAACTTAGTTATTAAAATTAAAAGGTTTTTTAGACTAACTCTTTGGAGTACCCCTCTGCTAGGCTATTTGATTTTCGTTTTTTAACATACTTTCCGCAACCGAAAATTGATTCAATTTTCCAATATTTGCCAAAATGCTGTTTAAATATTTAACATTTGTTGTTAGTACAAAAGTTTTCTTTTTTTAGTAGTTTGTTTGTAAAAAGTTTACCCTGGCTAAAGGTATTTGAGTTTAAGCCATTAGTTTTAGTTTTATAAATATAAAAAACTTATTTTGCAAAAATCAATCCTTAAAGTAATGGAAAAGTTAGTTACAGAAATCAAATTAAAGCAATATTAATTAAATTTAATAATTCTTTAAGTCTGCTAGGGTATTCCAATTCATTTTTAGCCAAAGGTTAACCTTTTAGTTTCTTTCCGATATTATTTTCTGGTTTTCCTATATTTTTGTCGACCTGAAAAACGTTTCTCAAGAATTTATGCAAACAGTTTTCCGCCGATAATTATGCACATGTTTATTGACAATCTGCTAGTTGATTTTTCACGCGCTTTTGCATACCAATTTGCTTGATGGATGGCTGGATGCATCAATAAAACCAAAAGCAAAAACAAAAAACAAAAAACAGAAATAAAAATCCAAGTCAGCCAACGGCGGCAAAACATGCATTTAAAATGCATTTATTTGAATTTAATTTCCAATTTGAATTATGCATGCAAATTGTGAACCCATCAATTCCAAGTCCTCCTCTTTTACCCTTTAACTCTGAATATACAGATATATATATATATATTTCTGAAAACCAAAAAATCGAAGGCGTTAAGAGTGAGATTGGAGGTGTTAAGGGATCGGGGGACCGGTTGTAACTTGTTTTTGGAGCATGTGTAGGCCAGGCAACACTTGAAACTCATCCCGGTCAGCCGTTCAGTACAGTAAATACTACTCAAAATGAATCTCAATATAAATCATCAGACATTTGCATATCAGTTTCTAATGTGTTATGTTCAAAAATCATTTTTAAAAATATTTAAAATGAAAACTTAACTAAAGAAAAATTCCTATTAATTAGGGGAGGTTCTTTACCTCTTCCTTTATTGAGTGCCTACTGTACCCCTCGATAAGCATCACAGGCAAAAACCAACAAAGCAGCAGACAACACGAAACAAGTCATACAAATTGAACAGCGAAAAATAAAACAGAGAAATTAACGTAAAATAAATCTAAAATATTTTTTAAAAATTAATTTCTTAAGAAATGAGCCACAAATATCAAAGTAAAATTCAAATTTAACTACTATAAACATTTAATTACATTAAAAACCAATCAAATTCCTCACAGTGTAATGTACAAATGAACTTCGTGGGCCGAACCAAGTGATATCCATGCCCCCCCACAAAAAAGTCGAACCACTGACGATTGCAGTTACATTTTTTCGATGTTGCTGCGGATTAAACATGTTTCGGGCTCAAAAATGTAACATGATATATGACAGCCAAGTGTCGAACTTGATAAATGTTTTAATGAATTTATTTTCGTGTTTATATGTTGGACAGTCCCAGAGCCCAGAGCTCAGAGAGTGAGTGAATCGAGATCTTTAGGCGGCTGGGCTGCCAGCCACGACGACACCTACTCTCTGGGTAGGTCTTTTGTCTGTCTTTCTGCCTGCCTGTCTGTCTGTCTGTCTGATTCTGATGTCAGTCTCCCTCTCCCACCTTACATTTACTATATATACATATATATAAATTCACATCCATATCCATTCACAAGTTATTCAGGTCCGACCGTGACCATGATGTATGATAAATCAAAATGGGGGCAACATATGCAGGGACCAGAGTCCAGAGTTGGACAGTTAACATGCTGCGGCATTTAAGCCGAGATTTGTGTTCGCATTCACTCTCCGCCCAGGGACGCATAATTAGCTCTGACTCTGACTCTGACTCTGACTCTGGCAATGTGGATATGGATCTGTATCTGTATCTGTAACTCTTTCCCGCTGGCCAACGTGGCGTATGAGTCATGAACACACGTGTGCCAACCACACGGACCATAACAAGGAACAAAAAAAAAAAAAGCCAGATACCACATGGACACACTCTTCTGGGATATATGTCCTGGAGCAGAAATAAATGCAAAATTGTCAACTGTTAACTGTATAAATTTATTCACAATTTTATGGGGGCAAATTGTGCATTTTTTCATATTTAAAAAGGTTCGGAGAGGCAGGTTTTAAAGGTCTTTGTGTACTAAAATTGTATTAAATCGTAAAAATCTGTCACTAGTTGTCAGGATAATCAAGATATCTATACAAATTTATGAACTTAACCTTATTTTGTGACTAAATTTCCTACTTCTTTGTTCATAAAATCTATAAAAAATATTTAAAAAATCATAAATAATAATTCTATTTGACAACTTCAATGATTTTTGCCCACCTTTCGATCTTCTTAGTCTACCTCTCAGCCTACAACCCTTGCCGAACAACCCTTTTTCCAACTGAAACCTCCAAAAATAACTTTAAAAAAACCCAAATCGACAACAGAACAAAACAAAAAGATATATATAAATATATATATATATATATGAATGGAAAAAAGGGAAATGAAATGAGAAATTCAATTGTGGCCTCGTCGACTGCGGCCGGCTTCATGCCTTCATGCATATTTAAATGAGATTTTGCGTTAACTGAATTTTTTCACCGGCATTCTCCAGCTGCGAAGCGGAGGTTGCGGGCGTGGCCGTACGCCAGTATGTGGGCGTGAGGCCCTGAGAAGAACAACAACAACAACAACAAAAACAACAATAAAAAACACATATTAATTTATATAATGTACGTGTACGCACAAGCACAGAGATATAAAACATTTATATAGATTTAAATAAATTGGGTTCTTCTCATTCTCATTCGCATTTTCATTTTCATTTTTTATTTCTCACATTTTTCCTCCTTTTTTTGTTTGCAATTTTTGTGGGGGCGTGGCAAGAGGCGTGTTGTCGCATATGTATTTTAAATAGGATGCCGGTCCCATTAGCATATAAATTGACGCAGCGACAGTTGAGTTGAGTGGATAAAAAAAATCAGGATAAAAAACTGTTAACCAAGCAGAAGGGGTAAGGGTTCTGGCTCAGGCTGTCGTAACTGTTAACTAGCATTTGGTATTAAAAAAAAAAACAAAACAAAAAAAGGAAATTAACACACACAAAAAACTTTAATTGAAATGCCCACCAAACATCAAAGACAAAAACACGACAACAACAGCCCCAAGCTGACAAATTGACTTCCGTTTCCGCTAATTCAAAACACAAAACAAAACAACAAAAAAAGAGAGCAAAGAGAAAAAAGCAAATTGAAAACTTCTTCGAAAGAATGAACGAAAAGTACTTAATGAGAGATGCAAACATAACCAAATTAGTCATTAGTTGATATGTCAAGCCGTTTATATATATATTTATTATTTTACACACACCACCAACCTTTTTTTCCTAATCTTAATTATAAATTAATACACTGAAAGAAGCGAAGAAGAAGAAGAAGATGTATTTATATGCGTATATATATATGTTATATGGACAAAATCGGAATAGATCCGATAGACTTTCTATCTCTTTTTGTAGATCCCCCTTTTTTCGGTTTGCCTTTGCATTTAGCATGGCCTACTAATCACATATCCTTCAACCACACACACACACACACATATAAACACAATTAAAAATAATGTTTTTTTTTTTTTGGTCAGACTAATATGAATATCAAAAGCGTGTGTGTCCAGAACGAATTATTCATATGGTAAGCTAAAGAAAAGATAAGAGAAAATCATACATAAAAACATAACATAACATAAAAAAATATAATCAAAAACTTAAAAAAAAAAAAGAAAACGAGAAACACAATTTTTTTTCTTAGATTTTTTGTAAATACTCAAAAAAACGTAAGGAGTGCGCGCAGAAGAAGAAGAGACGCTAAGGCAAATAGAACTATATATATATACATAGATATATATATATATAAACTGATAAATTGATTCAAATTTCGATTATTGCTAATTATTATGTTGAATCATAAACTGCACACACACACACACAGTGAGACGACACTCATAACACACACTCCCAAACACACACCCATGGAAAAAGCAAGAGAAATTCACATTGTCTGATATTAAAGTATTGTAGTTGGTACTTATATAAAATATATATATAAATATATATATATATAAATAAATATTAATATATGATTAATCATAATACATAAAGTATGCAATTTTTGTGGCAAAAGAAAAATATATATCAAAGACAAGATGAGGAGGCAGATCCAAGTTATATATATATATATATATCATTTATGTGTACTTGAAAAAGTAAAAAACCCGAAAACAAAGCAAAAAGAGCATGAAAGTTTAATCGAATTAAGTGGACAAATTGCTAATAATAATAATAAAACTAATAACGAAATCAAAACGAAAAGGTTGTCTTTTTGGGGGGGTTATTTGCTAATAAAAGAAAGGTAAGACTTTAAACTTAATCTCTGTTAATATACCCCTACTAATTATCCTCCCAAAACACTTAATTTGCCATAAAAGTTTTCCCATAAATTTTATATTATTTTTAGCCCACTAAAAATTCATTTTGATGTTTATTTTATGATCCAAGGGAGCCCTAAATTTAATTCACAAAACGAATATCGAATCAATCTTGGGGACCACCATCATGTTAATGGAATCACCGGAAAGTCATCAGGGCGGTGAAATCCTGTCGCCGTAAGACCGACTCCTCCCTGCCCTTCGTCGTCTGAGGGAAGCCCCAGCTGAATCTTTTGCTCCTGGCACTTATTAGGACGACCTCCTGTACCAAATCTGAAGGAGGACTTCTTATTGATTTTGCATTTGCATAAGCAGTTTATTGTGCCAGGCCGGCTTCCACTAACACACACACATACACACAGAGCCTCCTATTTTTGCCCCCCTAGAAAGTCCGAACCACATAGTGTTGCATACTTTTCGGGGGTACGAGACGTGGCAACATAAGAATCTACGCCATGGAAAGGTATGGGAAAACTTGCCACTTGCCACTTGTCCTTGGCCGGGGAAAATTAATTTAAAGCGCAATTTAAGTAAAATTTCCGCCCGGGGGCCGTTTCTTAGTTTTATTTGAGCTTTGCTCTCGGACTGAGGACTCCAGGACTTCAGGTCCTTGGTCCTTGGTCCTGTAAGCGAGCAGCAACTGAAACTAATACGCATATTTATCAAATTTCACGGCCCCGGGGTGGCTACTGCTACTGCTGCTTCTGTTTCCGTTGCATCTGAAAAGTCGTGCCCAAAAGTACAACCACTGTAGTACCCGGAAAATGCCTTGCAGCACTTCCCCGGTTTTCAGCAGCATAAATCTCGGGAATGGGATGTGGAGGCGAATGCGAATGCGAATGCTTCATCCTGCAGGACTTCGATGGGCGGTGTGGCAAGTCGACCGCAATGCAAAGCGACGGACAAAGTTTTTGCCCTGGCAAAACTTGACAAAAAAATAAAATGCGCCGAGATGTTGTAAGTGGCGTGGCGGCACGTCTACAAAGATTGCTCGACCAGGGAGATACCTTGGAATCACGTAGCAGGAGAAAGTAAGTAGCTGTCATCAAGAGGATATTACATTTTCTTTGGGTTAGAATGGTGATTGCAGAGAGGTTTGTATTTAAACTTTAAAAGTAAATTTAAACCTTCGCTAGCCACAGTTTTGCTCTTAGCTTGTGGGATTTTTCTATTTTGAAAACCTCTAAATTTTCCTATGATACCACATAACGATTCATTTTAGCTTTCGAAATAACTAACTGAAAAGGACAGGGTCAGTCGGACAGAAAAAATAATAATCCGTGGATTTGAAATCAATACTCTCCCCTGCCATATGAAAAAGGTATCATGTCTAAAGAAAAAACCGCTAAAACTTCGGTTGGTGGTGGCTGGACGGGGTTTTTCGATGGTCCATACATAGGCCGGGCCGGGCCGGGACGGGGACGGTCTGGTTGCCTTGGCAATATTGCAAGGACAAAGCTTCGTCTGCGTCTGCCTGTGGCAGACAGACCCCAACCACGCTCACACAGCCATCCACACCCATACTAAACCACCCAAAAATCAGAGGAAAACCCACCACCCACTCCTACTCTCCCACTCTGCGCGCTTTTGCACGCTTCATAAGCGCAACGAATGAATTTTAATTTGATTAAAGTGAAAAATTGAAAAATGCTCCTTTTGCCAAGCTCTCGTCTTGTGCGTGTTTCTGTTTCTGATTTTGGTTTTTCTTTTCTCGTCCTCTCCGGGACTCTATTAGAAAAAGAAAAAGGAACCCTGAATTCGCCACCCTGTGGAAAGATATTCAAGGGATTAGTTGGCCAATCAGTGGAGGCAGGCAACTGGGATTTTGTGGCCTGCTGCACAGCCTCATCATACTACAGCCGGGGCAGACCGACCAGGAGTAGTTGCCATGGTTAGAAATGCCAAAATGCCGATTGGCGACGGCGTTGCTTTGCCTTCACCATCTGAATGGCGGAGTAAGATATCGTCCTTGGAAAAGATGGAACGAAGCGAAGCGGTTGGCAACTTAGGCCGCATTAAACCTTTTCTCCCTAATATATTGTTGTTTTTGTATTACACAACGTTCCTCCCCCTTAACCGTCTCACCCACGAAAACGCTCAAAGACTTTCCCCATTTTTGTGCCTCTCCTAGGAGAGATGCTTAGCCGGGCTAAGAAGCATTTTTGCCCTGGCCATCGTCTGTTGGAATTACGCCGCTTGGATTTCAAGTGCCGCCACTTGCTGTTGCAGCAAATAAAAATACAAATACAAATACAAAAGTTGACACAGCAACAAAGTACAGTTGAAAAAATAACCTTAGAGTTTCATTTTGTAATCTAGAAATATTTCAGGTCTAAAATTGAGTTTAAACTAAGAAGATATTTTAATCTAAATAGACTTCCTCAAGTATATCCGTTAAAATTACCAAGTTAATGGTCAGTATTTGTAAAAATCTAGATATAGGATATATTTTCAAATACTTATAGATGTTTTAAAGGATGTTTGTAGGAGAAACTATATAAAAACAGTGTTTAAGTGAATCGAAAGAGGATTACCAAGTTTCTTAGAAAATATAAAAGTCTTTTGTATTATTTATAGAAATTGCTTTGTTTTTTGGTTTTTGGTTTATAAATAGATTTAATTGGTAGGCTTATTCCTGAATGTCAAGCCATAAAATTATAAAGAATGCCTATTTTTAATGTAAAGAATCCTTTATCCTTTTATCCTTTCAAAATTCCTTCAATAGTCTAGTCCTATATCCCAAAACCCTTAACTAAAGACCAAGAGCATTTTCAACTTTTGACATTAAAAGGCTTTTCCCCAATACGAATTGATTCTCTCCCCTCGAATATGCCCCAAGAATCGAAGAACGTTATCCAAAAATTTCTTTGGATTAAGTTTGCCCCTCGGCTGAAGACAAGCCCAGAGCCCAAAGCCCAACCCAGCCCAGCCCAGCCCAGCCCAACTGCTTGCGCTTCATAGTTGCAAATTGCCGGAGGCCATAGAGATGCCACTCCAGTAAAACAGAATTTTCCACTGAACCCTAAACGTGTTCTTTTCTGAGGAGGGGTTTGAGCTTTAGGGGTTTAGAGTTTATAAGTTGAATGTTGAACTAAGAGAGAAAGTGGGGATTGCGGTGCGGCCGAGTCCCCACTGATGCGCGACCCATTCACATGGGGCGCATTGTGAAGTGCAAAAAAGGCGTACTTTACAAGATTTTTATTACATATAAATGCGAAAAGTATTAAAAAAGTAAACTTTTTATAGACTTTTCATTTTGCTCTCAGCAGCATTTCCATCGTGAATTGTTGGTATGTTGCTGGGTAGCTCGGTTGCTGGATTGCTGGGCAAGGGTGGGGGCAAGGGATGAGGCTAAGTGCGGAACGAAAAAGAAGTTGTACGCTTTTTGTCTGGGCGTCATGATGCGTGTTAAGGGAATACACCCATGGCCACATCCACATGCCGCCACATACCAACACAACTAACTCCATGTGGCATAGGCCAAGCACACACAAGCATTTCGCCATGGAAATGCTTTCACTTGGCTACAAGGAGCACAAGGATAATATATATTGTATATATATAGAAATGCACTACACGAAGTCGGGAAGATCTGATTGAGTCTATGGTTGAGTTTAGAATATAATTTAATTATAAAATCTTTAAAAGTTAAATAGAAGAAGGTGTAGGTGGTTTTTAAATCAGACTTTAGCCGAGAAGTCTTAATATTTAGATCAGAATCTTCCCTGAAGTATGTATCATTTCTTACAGAAAGTTCAAGATTTCTAGCTAACAAAACCCTGCATACTTTTAGGCATAGTTTATTTTCTAGATATTCTAGTTCTATAAATATATACACTTACACACCACCAATCTTCTTACTTAACATAAACTGTTAATTATTCCAATCTAAAGCAGAAACTTATATCCCCAAGGATCTGACCCATTGCAGGTCAAAGCTGCTGCCAAGACAGCCGAATTTCAACCGCAAATCTGCGCGAGGTTTTCCCACCCAGCATCAACATCATCGTCTTGCCCATTCCTTTAGGTTTTTCCGCTTTTTCCACTTGGCTGTTGCCGTTCATGTTATTGCAAGGACTTGGATTTCTTTTTCCTTTTTTTTTCGGGATGGGGTTGTCGATGTGGAGTTGCTGGCGTTGTAACTGTTGTTCGAAATGTTTTTCCAGCGGCAGGGTTTTCTTCTTCGTTACTTCTTTTTTCTTCTCATTTTTGTTACCGCCGACTTTTCATATTTTCCTTAACAATTCGCTCGCCACCTCCGCACTTTTCCGCAACCGACAGCCGACAGCAACCACTTTTAAATTTTTTTTTATTACTATAACAAGACATAAGTAGGCATAATGGGGCCCTATAAAATATTTAAAAGGAAATTGGCATAGAAGTTTTCCAGCCGTTGGGGTAAGATTCTCATTTTGTTTGGGGGGCTTTCGGTTAAGGTTACACTTTTTACGGCTACGTTTCCGGGTTGCCTCAAGTACTTTCAGGCCCATTCAGTTAGGGTACTTCTCGAGGATCCCGAGGTGCTGGTATTTCCAAGGACCTGGAAACACGTGTCGAGCGATTAACGACGCCCCTTATTGGGCGCTATTTAAGGTTAATGCACTCTACACTCTACAAACTGAGATTTCCACAGCGGGAAAAGTGGATGCTAACTACACGGGAAGAAAGTGCTAAGCACATGTTGGTTTATTAAATATTTCATTCTTACTAAAAAGAGGGTTTTCCTTTTTTTTGACACTCTCAACCTGTTTGGGCCAATCTGTCCCGCCCGCTTCCCCTATATAAGCCCTAACTCCCCCATGTCAATCATTTTCACAAACGATTTGTCAGGCAATGCCTTGATGCAAATAAGCCAAGACATCACCGTCCATTATTTTCCCCCCTAACTTGGTGACATTTTCTTTCTTTCTTTGTTGGCCTGGGCCTGGGCCTGGGCCTGGATCATCGCGATTTTTTACAACTTTTCATTTTTGCGCTTGAGCTGGTTTAACTGCCGAAATTGGCGCCCAAAGCTAAACCGGATTAGGAGGATTCTGTATGCTGGCGGCAGGATTTTGGATTCTGACTACAGGAGCATATGTGTTGGCGCTCCAAAATCCGCTGTCGGGCTTTGGGCGGGGGGTAACTATTCAAATGAGAAGCTTGCACATCAAATGGCTTGGAAAATATGTCATCTCGTTGTTGGCTTTTATTGGCCTCCCCTCCAGCCTGATTGTTTCTTTTTCAGCACCCGCAGTCGTGAATATATAATGTCCCAGTCCAGATAGGCTCCAACTATGTAGCGGGGATTCTGCTCGGAATCATCGTAGCCGGTTCGTCCGTGGAGCAGGCGGATGTTGTTAAAGGTCAGGACGTCACCGGGTCGAGTCTTGAAGGCATGACTATCGGCGATTGCCAGGCGGACAAAACGGGCATAGGATTCGTACCATGGAAGGACCTCCTCCAGCGGCACATTGAAGTGACTGTCCCGTTGTGGTACACTGTGGTTAATCCGTGTATAGCGACCCTCGGCATCCAGGCTATGGGGGATTTGGGAGTTACTGGACACAGGTTTCCCTTAAAAAATCAGACTGGGACTTACCAAATGACTGGCGCCCTCCAAATATTATGGAACTCCCTGCCATCTTCACTCCCAATATCGTTCCAATCCACCACCACCCGACAGAGTCGCTCGAAATCCTCGGGATGATCACGTTTCAAGATATCAGCAATGTGGAAGCCATCCACCAGCATATTACTGCCACCCGGCGAGTCCGTTTGGACGACGCAGTGCAGGATATTGACACTCGGCTTGTACTCATAGTACGGCAGATCCGTGTGTAGTGGCAGTGGCAGGGATAGATAGGCAAAGTTCTGGGCACCAGGCTTAGCTTGGACCACAAACTCCTCGCCATAGGTGGTTCGCCTTATGAAACCCACACGCTCGGCCAGTCGTCGGACCACTCCCTCATCGAGAGGAGCACCACGTAGTAAGGCCACTCCATAAACAGCCAAAGCCTGAAGCCATTTCATCAGCACTGAATCCTGAGACATCACCTCGTCATAGCTGAAATGCTGGTAAACCTCTGGAAACTCCTTACCCGACCAGTGCTGGGTCGTGGGTCTATAGAACTCCCTTAGGTATTCTCTCTGTTTGGCATTCTCGAAACTTCGGTTCTTTAGCCACTCCAGGGTAAACCTGCTCTCGTGGTCATCGCTCCACTTTACCAATACCTCCTTGGATGCCTCATCTGTCCTCAAGCTGACTGGTCGTATCCGAGTATCAAAGTTATCCCAGTCTAGCTTACGCGACTTGGAGCTTCCATGGTAGCAATCTTCGCACTTACAATTATCCCTCAGCCAAACACCAGGGAAAGTCAGAGGTTTACTTTCTACATCCGGTTGAACTTCTATATTCGTTTCATTGACGATCTTGGCACTAATTTGTCGGCAAAATTGGACGGAATTCACGGTCTTCAGTTGACTCAGTGTCGTTCGACCCAGTAATCTCGGCACCCACATGGCGATTTGTATTTATTCTAGTTGGACGGCGTGAGTGTGGTGTGTCCACTGCTCGAGATTCAAATGCCGAATGAGAGATGCCGGAGAAAGCGAAATAATATAATCAGCAGCTAAATCGGGTCTTTGGACTTTGTCTACCAGCTCAGCATGGCAAGTGGTCATCAAAAAGATCAGGGGCGTAGGTGGTCGAAGATTGGTTTCAAGTCTCTTTAAGGTTACTTGAAAGTGGTTTTTAGAATCAATATATTAATATTTTTTATCTATATACACCTTGTATTTGAACCCCTTTAAAAAATGTTGGTGTCTGCCTCTGACTGAAGGCAGAGTGTTATCAGCGAACTAGTTCCCAGGCCAGAGCACATCTGCCGCAGTCTGCTTGTTAATAATAGCTTCTAAAAAGTAGACACCCCGGGGAATCAGACTGAGATAAGAGGTTTTATCAGTGTTAGGTAGAAGATAAAAGTTTCCAATTGAAGGAAATCCAACATAGACTGGTAACTAAAGCAGATAGTGTCACTTTCAAGTGAGGAAATTTTGAAAGCCAAGAAAGTACTTTAACTTAACTTTAGCCTTAGCAATAGGCCAATATCAATTATAATCATGTAAGTTCCCGGGGATATAGATTCATTATTGTTATATTACATTAATTATTATCAAATATATATAACATAGTCCACTACCTTCCATTTGACGACTTCATTTGCCCAGATTCTGACACAATTTGCCAACATTTCATCCACAGCCGACGTCAGCCCTTTATTCAATTTGCCTCAATCTCAATCTCAATTCAGCTAATTTAAAGTTGCAAGTCAATCTGAGACTCGGTTTCTGAATAGGTATATATATCTTTTTGCAGAGTGCTAAGTATCCCGCGGCTGAATTAGCATCTTGAAGATGAAATCTCCGAATGCCACCCGGACATCGATTTGTTTGACGTCATCGATTGGAAAGCCAGTTTTCCTACCTCCTCGCCTCCTCACACCCCTGCAGCAACTGTTTCTGGTCAATCAATCAATCAATCAATCAATCAATCAATCAATCAATTGAATCATCTTTGTCCGCCTGCGGGTCTTTTTGGCCCATGTTCCTGTGACTGAATCTCAAACGGAGGCAGCTCAGCTCCGAGGGCAAAAGCCTTTAAAGGGCCGTCGCCCGATTCTCGTGAAAGCAATAAAAATTGCAGCACCTTCTGCGGCCAAAGCTGGCTGACCTGTTGCACAATTGAATGGGAGCAGTTGCAACTCGCAAGCGGCAGCAGTGGGAGGTGCACTGAGAGAAAGTTTATTTACATTATATTTATAAATTTCCCCTTTTTCGGTTAGGTTTTATTTTTTCGGTCCTCTTCGGGGGATTTCGGCTTTACAAAGTTGTAAATTGTGGAAAAGCGATAAATGAGTTGGTTTTCGAGTGCAGGTGCAGTTGAATCCGGTGGCAGTCAGTAGTGGACAGTGGACAGTGGTCCAGGGGTCCGGGCGAATGCCCAAATGTCTGCCTGCCCTGACCATTTTTAGCGCGGACAATAAATTCTTCATGCGAGGCTGCCTCCGCATCAGTGAGCAGTGGGCCAGGAGGGCAGGTAGGATGGTGGAGGGTGGAGCAAGCAACGGATGCTTTTGGAAATGTTGCAGAAATTCCCAAGCCGGCGGCCATAAAAATGCGGCTCACATGTGACAACGATTTGTACTTTAGCCCCTTTTATGGCACTCGACGAAGCTGCTGTGTTCCTCCTCCGGCGGCTGCTGCTGCTGTTGTTGCATTTATAAAACCAACTCAGGTCCGCGTTTTCGTATTCGTATTCGTATTCCCAATCCTGATCCCGAGATCCCCGCTGCCTCTGGTTACACAGACCATCCACCCATCCAGTTGGCTTCACAAATCTCAAAATCGCATCAGATTATACGAGTTATGCGATGCAGTCAGCCAGCCAGCTAGCCAGCTTGCCAGCCAGCAACAGGCTCCCATTTTCGGTCATCTGCCATCGTCGGTTTTTGTAGGTCAACGCCTCCTTTGTAGCTCCAAAGAGAGCTCAATCCCCCAGTCCTAGCCAATCGTATAACCAATCCCCAGTCCATCCCCCCTTTCTTTGCAATTGGGTCAATTAACACTGACGACCCTTGAGGTTGATATCGCCCGGATACGAGAAAACGTCCTTCAGCTTTATGAGACCCCTTCGATATGCTGAGTGATTCCCCTTTGGACGATGATTATCATGTCACATGCCCCCAAAAACACAAACACAATGGTGGGGCACTGGTGGCACTTAAGGCGAATCCTTGTTCTTGTCCGAAATGTTAACAGTTTTCATTTCATGTAATTAAGTGCTGCTGATCCACTAGTTTTTATCTTTAAGAACGAACCGGATGAAAGGACTGCTGCTGGAGAGTAGTGAAAGCTTTTTGGCTTTCCACGCAGCGAAAGGAAAACAATGAATGCGGCGATGGAGGGCGATGGAAAGGAGAAGCAACGATGTCGGATGGATTAGGATGGGTTCCGGATGGGGATATGGATGTGGATGTGGATGTTGATGGAGATTCGGACGGGCTACCACTGGGTGGGTCTGTGTTTGCAAACTGTCTGGGCGAGACAACGTTGTACGTGCGGATGATGTCCGCCGGTCCAAGATCCGGCGTTTTGATACCCGTCGACGAACAGGGTATATATTGTATATATCTGGATGTGACAGGAAGCAGGGAAAGTCAGTGAGATATTCATGATCAGGTTGATTATGAAGAGAGTTTAGATTGCGTTTATGCGATTCTTGGCACGTAATATAGAGATAGACATGGAGGTGGATGTTCAGTCCAAGGAAATAGGAGGCTGTAGGATATAGAGAACATATTCATAACTATTTGGAATTCAGGAACCTAGGCTATATCCCCTATATGTCAGTTAGTTGTCAGGCTAAAAATCCCTTCGCAAAGATACCAAAGAACCTCCTTCCTTCTCCTATAACTACAGAGTATCTCACAGTCCATCACCCTTCGGACACCCTTTCTTTCTTGTTCCTTCTGCCTTCGCTGATTGCACTTCAGTCGGGTAAGGACCAAGGACTAAGGCCCGGAGCGGACCAAAAAATGTGTTAAGAGTCTAAACACGAACGTGCCGCTCAAAGGCCACTCGTTAACAGGCGCCGGGAAAGAGGTTCGAATCGGAGGGGGCAAACCCCCTTCCCTTACTCTCTCGTCGTCGTCATCTATCGGTATGGACAGCAGCTATTGGTAAATATTTTCACTATTTGCGACAGGCCAAGATGCACCCACCGAAAAAAAAGAAGATATAAAGGAAAAAAAGGGGAATCCCCGGTGGAAAAGCTTCCTCAACTAGCTTCATATATCTTAGATTCTTTTTCCTGGTTGTATCCACCAAGAACGAGCCTTTTTTTGCAGGTGGCATCTGCAACATCCTCCAAGATGGCAAGGCAATGTCTGCAGCCATTTCATTTGGCTGCTTATTTTATTGCCCCTGAGCCCAGTGCAGCCAAGCACATACAAACATAAAAGCACCCAAACAGACAGACAGACAGACAGTTGGCAAACAAACAAACATCTGGGTTAGGCCAGATATCCAGCTATATATATATATATGTATATATATATATCTTATTTTCGGGGTCCAATGGAGTCTTCATTAGGAATGCGGCAGGGAAAAGGAAATGCAATTCATTGCCCAAGACATTCGGACTGGCATGGAGAGGATATCCCCATATATATACACAACTTGGCCCTGCTACTTGGCTTGGCAGTCATCCGAGAGCCTTGAAGGTGGTGCCGCCTTTCGGCAGCAAGTGGCGCATTCCTGAACGCTGCAGGTGCCGCAGGATTTCTGATATTCCGTAGAGGATGCACAGCTTACAATGTCTGGTAGGAAGGTAGGTAGGTAGAAATCCGTGGCACGGACCTCAACTACGTTAAACACAATGAACTCGAAGCAGAACGCCAAAGGTTTACGGAATTCGCGTTGTCTTAAAACGAACTTGGTTGAGAGCTTATTTTGTTGATATTTAACTCAGATTTAGTGACTATTTTTAAAAGATTTAACTAAATATTTAAGATTTAATTAGAGTTTAAAATATTCCTGCTGGAAAGGCTATGAATTTTGAATGGCTTTTTAAGGTGTAAGTTTCCCTGTCACTCCATCGATCATTTCCTGTAGACGGTTTTTTTTCGGAAAAACCAACGCTTTTCCCGCTGTAATTTCCCCCCATTTTCCTCTCAGTCAGACCCCTTGCGAAGATGAAGTCAGCCTGGAGTTCAGTTTGAGTGCATGCATAAGTGTATTTATGTATATAGCCCAGCATAGTTTACACATTGTCTGCCGGCAATCCTGACAGCCGCTGTCTCCTGGAGACGAAGACGCTGTCCTTGTTCTTAAAAAGGATAACACCCCCAGTCAGTGGAACCCCCCAAGCCCCTTGCAAGTCTGTTGGCTGTTATCTTGTTTTCCTTGGCTGAGCTTTCGGTAAGCCGCGTCTAAATATCCTTTTTCTTCTCTCTGCAATTTTTACAGCTCATTCCGGGACAACGGCGGCACTCCTTGAGGAGTTGTTTGCGCATTGTTTACAGCTTTGTCTTGTCTGGGCAAAAGGATAGAGTGGGGGGGAACAGGATAGGGAAAGAGAGGGTGGTGCTTCCCCCTTATTGAGTCCTGCGCTTAATGCAGTCTGCAGTTTGTCCAGCAGCAAGTGGCAAGTGGCAGGAATACAAATCAAATTAACCTCTTAGAGCAAACGCTCCTCAGCTGCCTCCTCCTACCGCTACTACTCTTTCTTTCCGCTTTTCACTTAATTAGTGGGCAATGAGGCGTGGCTGCCGAAAAGTTTCGAGACAATGCAATTGCATTTTCAATTCGAATCGAGCTGGATGTCAAAGTGCGGATGCGAATGCGGATTCGGATGCGGATCCGGATACGGATATCCCTGCCCCGCCCTTTTCCAAGCCGCAATTAAACGCAGATGGAATATATAGTATATATGCTCTCTGCGATTGTTCAATGGAAACTATTTCCAACTATGCTTTGCTTTGGCTCAAAATCAACAAAAAGTCCCCAACTTCCACACTC